CTGAGGGGCCACTTTGTAGCAACAACCTAGACCTTCAGTGGGCAGAGGCCATCTCTGTTGCAGGTGCTGAGGCAAAGGCAGCAGATACCACCTCAGGCAGCCCCACAGGACTCCTGCATGGGGGCAAAATGCTAAATGTGCACCTGCTGCAGTCCATGCTTCTGTGGGCTGGTCCCTGTCTGTCACAGTGGAGCTCTGTCCAAGGTTCTTGACCCTGGAAGCACATTAGAGTCACCTGGAAAACTTTATTTATTTTTTTTTTTTTTGGTGAGGAAGACTGGCCCTGAGCTAAAATCTGTTGCTAATCTTCCTCCATTTTGTATGTGGGATGCTGCCACAGCATGGCTTGATGAGGCGTGAGGAGGTCTGCCCCTGGGATCCGAACCGGCAAACCCCTGGCTGCCAAAGCAGAACTCACAGACTTAACCACTACGCCACCAGGCCAGGGAAACTTTTAAAAAATCTACCCATGCTGGACCACTTGAATCAGTCTCCTGTGGGTAGAGCCTGGGCATCATTACTTGTGTGAAGTTCCTGGAAGACGACTCAAGTGTGCAGCCAGGATTGAGTACCATTTGGTTTAAATAAAGGAAAGACATTTAATAGTTTTAAGTATTGAAGAGAGGGACCAACTGTCTTTTAAAACTCTGGTCTTAAAACTTCGAGAGAAGAACTCTGCTGAGCCCATCTCGGGGCTGGCGGCCCTCACTAGAGGACAGAGTGTCACTGAGGGACGAGTCAGTGAAGAACTCGTCGGGCAGACCTACCAGTGTTCGCCACCATGATCAGCACACCTTGGACGCGGCACTGGATCATTGGGGCGCAGAGCAGAACCCCAAAGGCAGCAGCATGATTGACACACGGGAGGTGAGAGAGCACTGTGAATAGTACATTTTCAAGCAGTTTGTCCTGGAAGGGAATACATGACACAGAGACCATTCCTAGAAGACCCAAGTTGACGGACAAAGGAAAAGGAGACACAGCTGATGGAGAAAGCCCTGGAGAAGGGGTGTCACCGTGTGCGAGAAGGTCGGGAAGGCCCGGAGGGCGAGAACGAATCAGAGTACACGCTGGTACACACAGGCCAGAACTTGCCCCCAAATATCCCATTTTGTCTGAGAAATCTCACTTTCAAACAAACAAAAAAGAAAATCTCTATTTGCTTACAAAGACCCTGTAAGGAATCTTACTCCTTAACGATTTGGTGGCTAAGTGTGTGGAAAAATAGAAATTAAAGCCACACACTTTCCCATCTGCTCTCTTTGCGGGGGCGGGGGGGGGCGGGGGGTGGTACACTCACTTTTGGCTTATCCCAGGCATTCTTACCAAAAGGCTTAACCAAAAAATAAAAATAAGCTTTTTAGAAAAAATTGCTTCGGAAACAATTCCATACTTTGGTACTGGGATGGAAATGAAAGGATCCATTTAAAATGTGCATACAGACAAGTCAGTCAAAACCTGGGTGGAACTGCTTGATTGAATCAAGAAATCACAGCTTTTTCCTAAATGAAGCAGCTTCCCCCCACGCCGGCTTATACGGGACAAATAAAAAGCATTCTTTCAGGATATCATGCACTGTGGTGGAAAGAACACCAAGCAGGCAGAGGGTCCAGTGCGGCCACTCGAGCCCAGGGCAGGGCTGTATGGATCTGTTGCTGAGTCTGTATTCTCTGCCTCCCCTGCAGAGTGTCGGAGTCACACAAGTAAAAATTGAGAAGACACATTAAACAACGGTTATTACAGCTGCACGTCGCGCTTACTACATGTCAGACACTGTTCGAAGCACCTCACACATATTAAGGCATCTAAAACCCACAGCAACCCATTATCGCCAGCTGGGGAAACTGAGGCACAGAGAGGTCAAATAAATAGCTCAAAGTCCCAAAGCAGTCTAGAGGCTGGCCGTTCACAAAGCCTGCTCCACCTTCTCCCCAGATACAGGAGTAGAGCTAAACTACGTTTCCAAGCCTTCCTCGCAGTTCCACGTGACCTTGTCGGCCTTGAAATATGAGCAGAAGCACATGCGCCATCTCTAGAACTGGCCCACAAAACTCCACGCTCCACCCGCTTAATGACGATGATGAGAGCCGCCGTGGACGGCAGACTCAGCATGTGGCAAACCAGGAGAACCCAAGCATCGGTGGCCCTCCTTCACCTTCCAAAAACGCGATACCAGCAGTCTGGGGAAAATTGTACTAGGTAAGCTCATACTTTCCAACACCAGAGTGAAACATATCACCAGTCCACAACTTTATGTAAAATGCATCTTGTGACAAAAGTCTGATTCTTTTTTTTTCAAAGAGTTAAGACAATATTCCACATTTGGTTAATGATCTCAGATGTTATCGCTTTCTAATTTAGTGTATAAAATACTATGCTGTTACAGCATCAGATGATGTTACTACAGATACGACTGGAGATACGGGTCACAGGCCTTCTGGGTTTTAAGGGTAACATTTCAACCACCCATCACTGATTAGTCCTTTCTTAGTATAAATGATAACACACTGTAGGATTATGAATGTTTTGACACAAATGCACAATACAGACCTCTTTTGGTAGTTGACAGATTCTTTTATTAACAATCAAAAAGCTTCACACTTACAATAGGAAAATAAATGTTTCTTTAATGAATAATTAAATGAAAACTATACAGAACCTTATAGAATTTTTAATATGTACTATGCGTATCTTGGAAGACAGGACATTAGCTTGTTGGGATCACAGGGTACGACTGAAAATGAGACAGTAATTCATAAAAGTTACCTAATAAATTTCCCAGACAGTTCTCCTGAAATTAAAACAGGAAATAAAATTTGTATTTATATCTGGTTTTAGATATGATTTAACACGCATCAATCTTAATTTTGTGATTTTGATGTTACTTTTTTAAAGGGACTCAACAGAAATTCAAAACTCATTTTTAGATCGTGAACTTGAAGTGTGCGATGAAGTTGTAATTTCTCAACATCAAAGGTTAATTATTACACAGCAGTTGAAGCAACAGATATGATTTCCTGGACAGCGTGCGTCTGGGGTCCTGTGTCCCCCCAGTACTGATCACAGGGATGTTTTCAAAGCACATCTCCGAATCGAGCGGGCACCACTGATTCGGCCACAAAGTCCTTCTTGGATAGACAATACTGGTTCTTTTCAGAAGAAATGGCTATTTTACCTTCCCTGTTTCTTTTCTTTTATGAAGAACAGGGTTAAACAGACACTATCCACTGGAAGATTAAAATCTTTACTCCGTAAATTATCTTAGTGTCTTCAAATCTATCCGCCAGGGAGGAAAACCCACAATCTTAGTGAAGGACCCTGCTGTCCCTCGTTCCCTCGACATAAAGTCACAGCAAAAATAGGGGCACATAGAAATTCCAACATTAGATTTGTTTGGAATCTTAAAGCTTAGTAAGAGCCCAAAACCTTTATATAAATCAGGAGTCTCTGCATATCTTTGTCAGTTCCGTACAAACCAGGGTGTAGCAGACAACTTGTATTCAAAAGCCCATCTTTCAAAAAGGTCCCACTTTTCTAGATGGTCTGTGTAAACAGGTCACCGCCTTCTTTGTGTAGGTGAGCAGTAACCACGTGACTCCCATTTGCGCTCCCCGTAAGTCACTTTACTGTTCAGTCTCGAAGTGTTTTCAACCCACAAGCATCAACACATACAGAGTTATCACCAACCTCATCAACACTGCTGACTGACAATTCATAAAACCTAAATCCTTTTCTAACTGAATTCTAAAAGTGCCTTGAATTCAAATCTTTTTAAAAACTTCAGTCTTCAATATTGAAACTGCTAACTTACTGCATTTTTCCAGTAAAAAACAGAAAAATAAAGTTGGGGGGAAAAATGTTAAAATAAACTTGGGGAAACATCCTGTTACAAAATAGGTTTGAGAAAAAACCTTTATAGATATATATATATATTATAATATTTATATATTTATATATATTCCAATAGAAGGGCAAACCCATCTGGATTGCTCACCTCAGCATTATTGTAGTAAATAACCATTAGAAACAAATGAGATATTTGGTAATAGAATTGTAAGGTAAATTAGGAAATGTCCAATTGACAAAATTCAAGACAAAGAGGAAGACGATGAAATATGGGAAATGCACGACCATGTTAAGCCAAATACAGAAAGAACCTGTGACCTGTAAACAGCTTCATCCGCAAAAAGGAAACAGGAACACAACCTGACATGCTGAGTCACTGTATTGAGGGTATGGTTTTCCCTTTATTGAAAAAACTCAATACAAAGCTTCTGTTGGGACTGTACATTTTTTAAAAGAAAAGCAAAACATCAAATGGGATACAATAACTCAAAAACAAGTGTTTAGAAATAAATGAGGGAGGCACCTCCCTCCATTCTGAGGGAGGCATGCGGCTGACCTCATCTGGAAACCACTTGTCTCTACCCACGAAGGCAGCACCTGACCAAGCGCCCGGCCAGAACCATCTGTGACCTCCTCCCTTCGTGGACTTTATCAGCTTGGCCCTAATTTGTCCATTTTGAGAAGTTAGACAATACACATTTCTAGGTTTGAGGACAACATTTCACATCAAGTCTTTGTGTTTCTCCCTAGACGAAAATTCAGATGCACGACTATTTCTTTCTCATTATAAAGCAATTCTCAATTAGCGATCAAGTAATATTTTTTAAAAAGACAAAATGGTGATTACCCAGTGTTACATGTGACCATAAACAATTAAAGACCATTGGGTGACACCACCAGAAGCAAAACTACATGGAGGATTACTTACAAAAAGAGCAATTTTCAATAGAAAACTATTCCCCTTGGGAAATAAATTTAATATTTTGTTCTTAAACAACTGGGGCAAAAGACTAGATTTCCTACAACAGAATGGGATGAGAAAGGCTTCCACAGACCCCTAACAGCATAGGAATGGGATACTTTTGATGGTTTTATGATGACAATTAAACCCTCCTAGCCATTCTAGCTCTCTGAAGGAAACGTTCAATGAAAAGACCGAATCATACAAAGCATTTAATATTTTCAAACAGTTGCCCAATAACAAAATTGTAAAACAGGAAATTATTCATAGCATTACGTTTATCAAATATCTGAATAAGCCACATTCAGAAATGCTATCCTAGAGCAGCTTACTGGTATACTGTGGTACTTCGAGCTACTACAAAAATAGTTGGAAATTGCTTAATGCACTCGGTGTAACGATAATGCTTTACTTTTTGCAAGCCATGTATCTCTCAGATACATTCTCCCAGTTGATCACATTCCAAATGGCTTTCAGATAATCAGGCCTGACATTTTTATACTGAAGGTAATAAGCGTGCTCCCACACGTCAATCCCCAGCAGGGGAATAAGACCTATTGGAAAGAATGGGAAAAAAAGCAAAACACTATGAATTTCCATCTAAAACACTGCAGCTTCTCAATTTAAACTTCATCCTACGCATACAAAATTATCCTTTACAACATTCGCATCCATTTTCAGTTTCTTATATAAATAGGAAAACGGCCTAAGACTAAGTATTCCTATAAAAAGATTTTAAACTTTACTCTTTGGAAGAAAATGTGATGAATAGTAAAAATAATTAAAGTAGACTTGGGAAAATCAATTAACTACAGTATTTTAATAGCTGTTCTTAAGACACCAACAGATGTACCCAACAGACAATTCTCAGTGGTCCTCAGTGGGGGTCTTATAAGGTATGTTATGTTTGTGGGGGCTGTTGAGGACCTCCCAGGACCTGAGCATCCAGAGGTGTTTATGAGAAACCTGCTCTGCTCCCCAAGGCTAACGTTAGTCTTAAAGAATAGAACACATTTAATGAGACACTAGCAGAAAGGATAAATTAACAAAGAAAACTAAATTGGACTAAAGAAAAAGATACACTGCTTCCAGAAATTAAACAGTATAAATGAAGAATTAGCTGTATCTTTAAAACATTCATTTAGGGCCAGCCCAGTGGCATAGTGGTTAAGTTTGCACACTCCATTTTGGCAGCCCGGAGTACATGGGTTCAGATCCTGGGTGTGTACCTACGGACTACTCATCAAGCCATGCAGCGGTGGCATCCCACATACAAAATAGAGGAAGACTGGCACAGATGTTAGCTCAGGGACAATCTTCCTCAAGCAAAAGGAGGAAAATTGGCAACAGATGTTAGGTCAGAGCCAATCTTCCTCACCAAAAAAAATAAACAAAATTTAACAAATAAATAAAATTTTAAAAACACACTCATTTAGAAAAAGTCTCAAACTAAATCATAGCTCTTCTCTAAGAAAACAATTCTCAACCAGTACAGCTTGATCAGTTGTGAGGTATGCCACTAATAACTTAGTATTAATAATTAAGGTAATGAAATTTATCAAAGTTTTTTCCCATAAAGAAATTGCCATGACTTTTACTTATTTTCATTCCAAGGGGCTTTCTTCAAGTGGGAGGGAAGGAGGGGTAGCTGGGATTCACCTAGAAATCACAGCCTTTCCAGGCAGGCACCTTCACGGCCACACATGACTCTACAGCAGGCAGGGCTCACAAACCTTTCGTGGCTTTTACAAATTCTGTGGCATCTCACTTTCCCAAAAGAGCTGTTTAGATTCTGGCAAAATCTGAGCACATCCAGGGAAGTGGGTCTCGTAACCCAGTCTCCTGACGTGTGTAGGGGGAGAAAAAGTGGCTGAGAACTGCTGTGGTTTGATGTCAAGGCGTCACCGTGGGCTCGTGACATGAAAGACCAAAGTTGAAGCTAACCGCTGGATGACTTAGGGCTCTGCTTCCTAAAGAGTTTCTAATGCAATCTGGCTCCACATCAAGAAGGATTTGGTGAGCCCAGGCTGGAGCTTCTAAGCCAAGCATTTTCATATACCAAAACCCCCAAAAAAGCAGCCGTCTGGAGCTCTAGTTCCAGACTGATGACGAGCGCCCAGCAGAGGGGGCAAGAGACTCAGGGCTGAAGTCAGCCTCGGTTCACACGTCTTTTCCTCCCTCTCGTTTATCTAATTTTAGTGCGCATAATTATGTAAGCCGGTAGGAACTCTGTCAGATAAAGCAGAGTTTATGTTTAAAACATTTTTTGGTTAATGTGTCTGTAAAATTACACGTGCTTATTTTGGATAAGATTTACACTTCAAAATATCAAGGACTTTTAAAGCATTTTCTGCTTGCACAAGACTTGAGCATCATCTGTTAAGATTTGCTCAAATTAGTACATACTCAAGATAGGTTTAAACGCCGCTGGTTTTTCTTATTTCAAGTTAAATGCTTTCTTTTTTCTTTTTTAAGGAAGGTTAGCCCTGAGCTAACATCTGCTGTCAATCCTCCTCTTTTTTTTTTGGCTGAGGAACACTGGCCCTGAGCTAACATCCCTGCCCATCTTCCTCTACTTTATATGTGGGATGCCTACCACAGCATGGCTTGCCGAGCAGTGCCATGTCCGCACCCAGGATCCAAACCAATGAACCGTGGGCCACCAAAGCGGAACTTGAGAACTTAACCACTGCGCCACCAGGCCAGTCCCTCAAGTTAAATGCTTTCTAGTGAACATCTCTCCCAAATGAACATGTGACAATGTTCAAATCTCACCTGTTGTTCCCTGCAGGGGATCCTGGTTAGGACAGGCAACAATCTGGAGGCGTCCCTGGTCCTTATTGAAACCAAGCCAACCCCAACCCGAGCCTTGGACACCAGCCGATACAGCAGTCAACTTCTCTTTAAATTTGTCGAAGGAACCAAAGTCACGTTTGATGGCGTCCAGCAATTCCCCTATTTAAAAAAAAAAAAATCCAAAAAACCCCACAAATAAATAGATTACAATTATTACAATAGAATATGTTATTACATATTTAAATATGCTTGTCATACGGCCCAAGATACAACTAGACAACGTCATATAGAAGACACAGCATAACCCAGCGAGACTACATAACACCGTGTTACGTCGTGTCATAAGTCTCACAGTTTTAATTCACACATTTGTCACTGAAGCGTGCCACAGGGATTTCTTCACTCACTGGGCTATTTCTATCAAGAAAGAAATAATATTTTAGCTTTCTTTTTCCCTCAATAGAGAATTTACTTTGACTTCTACCTTATCTCCTCTGTCTCAATTTGGGAGTAAAATGTTATGGCTGTTATTTGATTTTTCTCGAAGGCAGCCTACATCTTTCCTACCTCAATTATATCATTTTTAAAAGAACGATTTCTCTTCTATTACTGAACTAAGGGTACACTGCAACAGACAAGCCTTTTTATTCTGTAGCAATATAGAATATAATTCTAGATTGAGTACATCAACTAGGCCAAAAATATTACTTCTCTGATTCTACCGGCTTAAGGTAATCATCTATTATAAGCAGAAATAACGGAATAAAGTGGGACAGATAACATAAAACGGCAGAGAGCACCAAAACCTGCGGGCTGAACGTGGGGGTATGTGAGATTCCAGTAACTCACAAAACCTCAAAACTATTAAGCCTTGGTCTGAAGACCTAACTCAGAAAAAATAAAATGTCCAGTTTCCCACACTGACTCCCCCATTCATCTTTTTATCCTCCAAATGAAACCGCTTATTTCAGTGCATAAGATGCCTTCTCTAACATGATTAAAAACAAACAAAAAACAAAACACAGAAACGTAATATACACGCCAGAAGCCCAGAGACAAGAGAGGGGAGCTATATTTAAGCCCCATATCTTCCCAGGCTGAGGAGGATAATTAAAGCCGCCTGGGCCACCACACGCCACACAGGAAGTCAAGTAAACAAGGACAGTGAGCAAGCCCATCGGCTCTGCACCCCCTCAACACCTGCACTTGTCCTGGAAAACCTAATTTTCTGGGACAACTGACTTCTCATCAGTTAGGAAACAGTAAAATAATAGTAGTAAAATAATGGCAAACGGCATTATTCCGAGCACCTCACAGATAATAACATTTCATTCTCAAAACAGCCCTATTATTACCCAGGAGCACAAAGATGAAGAAGGTAAGACACAGAACGGTTAAGGACCTCACCTTAGGTCCCAGAGCTAGTAAGGGAAAGCTCGTCCTTCCTGAACCCTGAGTTCCCCAGGCTTTGGCTAATGTACAGTACAATTCAACCAAAAAGAGACACCGTACATGATATTATGTGTATGTGAGTATAAAATCTGATGTTATAACTCCCTGAATGCATTCTCCATTCTTACGTATATCCCTTTAAAAGTTAGAATTTTGCTGGACTCCTTGCTACGAAAAATATGCCATTATAAGACCTCAGGGAGAATTAAGGCAACTTAAGAAAATCAACATTTGTTCCTACGGTGCCCAAAATGCCGCCAAGCTTGCACCAACATATACCAACCTTTGGGTTCTCCCCCGCCATTGGGGCTCAGGTTTGTCCAGAAAATGGTATGATTGATATGGCCTCCACCATTGAACTTGAGTGCAGGCTGCAGAGCAATCTGAGCTGTCACGTCCCCTGAAATGTTAAAACGCAAACACATTTTTCTAAATTCTTACTTTTTCAACCATTTTATACACTATTTTTTTCTTTGTAAAGTGTCAGATAATTGGATCAGCTTATCAGTAACATCCTATTGATCCTAAAATTCCACAACTTAATGATTCTACAAAAAAACACCTTCCCAAAACTATTTGTCCCATGGGTTTTCAGTTCAATTCAGAATGTGCTCAACCACCAGTGAGAGGCCCAGCCCGGCGGGCAAAGCTGGTAGAAAAGTCACTCCTGAGCTTCAAAGAACTCAAGAGCTTTCTTGGATAGAAAAGATTTTAGCAAATGAAATAATAGAAAGAACAAAGCTAGGAAACAGTGCAATGCTAAAATGTAGGGTTCCATTCACAGACTATATGGAAAATTTTCAATTCTCATTTCTAGTTTTCACTAGATATTCACTAGGAATATTTCAATGTTACCTTAGCAAGAAACTGAACATAGTCAGAAGGGAACTCCCGATGTTCACCCCGAAACTTACTCTTCCTGTGGCCTTCCCCATCTCTGTAAGTGCCAACTGTTTGCTCAAGACATTTTTGATAACTTGGTCATTCTTTACTTCTTTCCTCTCACCCTCCATATCCTATCCACCAGCAAAGCCAGCTCTACCTTTAAAACGCATCCAGGATCCCAGCCCTACCTCCTCCCTCTGGTCCATACCAGCAGCATCCCCACCTGCATTCGAGCCTCCGCCTCTCACGGGTCTCCTGCTTCCACGTCTGTCCCCTACGGTCTCGTCTCAACACAGTGGCCAGAGGGCTCCTCTAGACGCCAAGGTGATCATGGCCCTCCTCTAGTCAAACCCTGCAAAGGCTGCTCTTCTCTCTCAGCATGAACCCCAAGTCCTTGCAATGCACGTCAGCTGACCCTCCGCACGTCCTCGCTGGCCCAGCTCCAGCCACAACGGCCTCCCCGCACTGACATGAGAAGCTCCACGTGCTCCCAGCTTAGGGCTCCCACTGACTCCTGTTGCCTGTGCTGGAATGCTCTTCCTGGAGACAGCCTCACGCTTCATTCCCCCACTTCCCCTTCCAGTCTCTACTGAAACATCAACCTCATCAGTGAGGCCTCCTCTAACCACAATATAAAATAGGCAATTCCCCGCCAGCCCCTCCAGACCACTTCCCCTACTTTGTTGTTCTCGATAGGACTTACAACCCCCGGCATACTACATATTTACTTGTTCATCTGTCTCCCCACTGGAATGAAAGTTCCAGGGATGACAAGGACTTCTGTGCATGCTGTATCCCCAGGGCCCAAAATATTGCCTCATATGTAACAGGCACTCAATAAATGTCTGTTGATTGACTAGATAATTGAATACATTGAACGTAGTTTCTAAGGGAAAAAAATTAATTCCCTGGTAGCTATATTCAAAAAAAAAGTTATGTTTGAAGAATTTTTTTCTACCTTTCTAAACAAGCAGGGAAAGAAAAATATTTTTTTCTATGCTTTCAAGAAGCTACAAATTAACCGAACTCTTAGGAAAAATGGGAAATCTCTTGTTCAATAAACACTCAGTGCTTGTTATTCACAAGATACAAGAGGCAAAGTAAAGAACATAAAGAACCACTGAGAACTCTGCTCTTAGGGAGCTTAAAGATAGAAAAAGTTCGCTACTTATGTTCTTAGAGTATACACTAAGAACATATGTAAGAAATGTCGCTTTCTGAAGCTACCAGGCCAAACCTCCAGTTGTTTAGCAATTCAGAAAGAAGGAGAGAACCTAGTGATATCTGAATACACAGATAATTTTTTTTTGTTTCTTAGGGTTTTTTTTTTTTTTATGGGTGAGGAAAATTGGCCGTAAGCTAACATCTGTTGCCAATCTTCCTCTTTTTTCTGTTTTTTTTCCCTCCCCAAAGCCCCAGTACATAGTTGTATGTCCTAGTTGTACGTCCTTCTAGTTCTTCTATGTGGGACGCTCCCATAGCATGGCTTGAGGAGCGGTGCTAGGACTGCACCCAGGATCCAAACCAGAGAAACCCGGGCCGCCGAAGTGGAGCACGTGAATTTAACCACTACGCCATCGGGCCAGCCCCACACAGACAATCTTTGAGAGTTTTTTTCTGATGCCAACTTTTTGTTGTTTACAAAATAATTTTCTTACAGATCAGTGTTCCCTTTACTAATTTTTCCTGAAGAGTCACCCTAAAAATAAATGTAGGTTTTATATTGCTTTTTAATAAATCAACAGTAACAAATTTTTCGAATGGGAAAGAAATATGCTTACTGAGAAACAGTTTAATGATCTCCAAGTTCACTTAATCATTTTTAAATTTTAATAGAAATTTGGGGGCTTAATATCTGCTTTGAAGAACTTTCCTGAAGTTCAACATTTTCTTTGGTTTCACCTGTTTTTTTCCTCTGTTAAATGCAATGAAAGTTAAATATTTTTGTTTGATGTTACTCACTTGTGATGAGATTAATGTTATTTTACTTACATTCCTCTTTTCTCCCAAATTCTCAAACACAAAAACTTAACTCTTCAATAATTTTTAAAATATAATTTTTTAAATAAAAGAAACCTATGCGGGGACTTACTAATTTACAGGCAATATGGTATAATATCATGTAAAGCTTTTTTTCCAGTGGTTTTCACTAAACAAGTGCAGCTTTGATTGCGCAAGAAGCAGACTAACATTAAGCTGTCTTTAAAATATTGACAGACAGATTCACGGGTGCCAGACGTCACGTAGGAAACACTTTCACAACGGGCCTATTCCCCAGCCTCTCATTACCACAGGCTTCCTGGATTTATTTCCTAAATCATCAAAACTTTTCCCGTATTTGAGGGAACTGATTGCACAAGCAAATCTTCCAGAATGTTGTAACTTCCACTTCTTTTTGTTGAGCCAATTACCTCATAAACAATCGGGCTGAAATACTACACTTTTCCACTAGATGCCCCCAGTCAACAAGATGTCACTGTCTTGAAATTTACACAACAAATTTCACAGGACTGCCACTCCAAAGTATTTTTCAAATACATTTTTTTACCTGTGTAGCTTATTAAGCCATACATGCAGTTGGAAACACGACTGTTAATTATTTTCCTCGTGCAAACTACTGATTAACTAATAGTTGAAAAGTGTAATACTATTTTGTATAGAGACATTCTATACAAAATCATAGAATTCCCTATCACAATAGGGAAATATTCCCATTATAATATTCCCATACACACCCCCGGACACAAAATACACAATGTCCACAGCTACTGCTTTCGTCAACTACGCTGTTAAAAAAAAAAAAACGTAACTCCACATTGTATTATAATATTGAATTCTAAGTAAATACAAGCTCGTTTCAGTTTCCCACAAATTGGATATTTTCATTGCAAGTTTGGGCCCATAAGTCAACAAGAACACGTGAAGTGGTTCTATTGACTAGAGAGGCATTCCCTTAAGGGGACACGCCCCGCTGTCATGACTCCCAGTTTAGCCAGGTTCTCAAAGCCAGGCAGCCGGGCACCTACCCTTGGCCAGCGCCTCCTGGTACTTCTCCTCGGTGACGTTCAGGTTGTTCACATAGGCCGCGTGGTGCTTGCTGTGGTGCAGCTGCATGATCTGGGCGTTGATGTAGGGCTCCAGAGCGCCATAATCATACTGCAAGTCGGGGAGGCTGTGCTTCTGCCGGGACCCCAGAGACCCCAGAGCTGGCACCAGCTTCCTGCTCGTGCTGGAAGAGAGAGCGTGCACAGACCGATTCGACCGCGCGCACCTGTCTACGCAGACGAGGCTGCGGAAGAACCAGCGCAGCGGACCTTTCCGGATCGTTGGCTCCTCCACGTTCTTTGAAGCATTCAATCAACGTGGCCGCCCTGCGCCCCAGCCGCACCTGGACGCGGTCAGCGGACACCTGCGGGCAGGCCGGGTCGCCCGCCGCGTCCCCGCGCCCCCCGCCCCGGAGAGGCTGAGCGGGGAAGGAGTGCGGGGACGATGGAGGCAGCTGCGGCCGCGAAGCCGGCCCCGGCCCGCCGCCCGCCGCCCGCGCCCCTTCGTCCTTGGGGCCGTGACCGCGTCCCCGGCGCCTCACCTGCACGCCGCCCGGCACAACATGGTGACCGTCCAGAAGGCAAAGCACCTCGGAGATCGCGCCGCACACACGGCCCGCGGCGGACGCGCGTCCCGGCCGCTCTTCAAGGGCACGACCAGCCCCGCGGCTCCGCCCCCTGAGCTCGCCGCTACCACCCCGGGGGGCGCGGGTCTCTGGGCTCAGGGGACGCGAGAAGAGGGGATCCGGCCGGCCACCTTCTCCAGTGGGTCGCGGGACCCGCGACGCTCACCTGCCGTGCTTCGGGGCGTGTCGCCAAAGGGAAGGCCGCCGTGCCCCCTCCCCCGTCCCCCGGGTGAGATGGTACGGTCCGCGGCCCCGCCCCGCAGCAGCACCGCCCCACGGAGCCCGGGGGCAGGTCCTGGAGGCGGGGGCGGGGCTGGGTCGGCGCCCGGGTGCGTCCCCGCCCCTCGCCTTCGGGCCGTGTTTGGGCAGCCACGGGGCCGACAACGTCTCCAGGGGAAAGGCTGTTGTTTCCCTGAGCGGCCTTGGCGCGCCCCGCGGGCTGCTGAGGTCTTTCGGAAGGCGGGTCTTGGGCGCTGGTAAGATGTGGGGCCAGTGCCCCTCTAACCGCTGCCCGGAGTGACCTTTCTTTCCCAGTGAACTGACCTTGGGACCTCTGGCAGGCCGGAGCCAGGTCAAGGGCGGCCTGATGATAGCGGTTACTGAACACCTACGATGTGCCACCAGGGACTGCGCTGCAGGGTTTACACGCATTTATCTTTATTTCACCCCTAGGGTCCCTATCGTTGACTCCAGGCGACAGTTAACGAGCTCACTGAGGTGAAGCAGTTTGCCCTGGTAACACAGTTAATAAGTGAAAGAGTCAGGATTAGAACCCAAAGTTCATACTTTTTTTTTTTTTTTAATTATTTTATTGAGGTCATGTTGGCTTAGAACACGGTGTAAATTTCGGGTGTACCTTATTATGTTTCAGCTTTTGTGTAGCCTGCATTGTGTTCACCACCAATAGTCTAGCTTTTATCTGTCACCATACTATGTGCCCCTTTACCCTTTTCACCCTCCCCCCACCCCCTTCCCCTCTGGTAACCACTAATCTGTTCTCTTTATCCATGTGTTTGTTTATCTTCCACATATGAGTTAAATAGTACAGCGTTTGCCCTTCTCTGTCTGACTTATTTCACTTAGCATAATACCCTCAAGGTCCATCCACGTTGTTGAAAATGGTGGGATTTTGTCCTTTTTTATGGCTGAGTAGTATTCCATTGTGTATATATATCACATCTTCTTTGTCCATTCCCCACTTGACGGGCACTTGAGTTGCTTCCAAGTCTTGGCTATTGTGAATAATACTGCAATAAACATAGGGATGCATTTATCTTTTTGAATTAGTGATTTCGTGTTCTTTGGATAAATATCCAGTAGTGGAATAGCTGGATCCTGTGGTATTTCTATTTTTAATTTTTGGGGAAATCTCCATACTGCTTTCCATAGTGGCTGCACCATTTTGCATTCCCACCAGCAGTGTATGAGGGTTCCTTTTTCTCCACATCCTCTCCAACATTTGTTATTTCTTGTCTTGTTAATTATAGCTATTCTAAGAGGTATGAAGTCCTATCTCATTGTAGTTTTGATTTCCATTTCCCTAATAATTAGTGTTGTTGAACATCTTTTCATGTGCCTGTTGGCTATCTGTATATCTTCCTTGGAAAAAAAAGTCTGTTCATATCCTACATAAGACTAAAAAGCTTCTGCATGGCAAAGGAAACCATCAACAAAATGAAAAGACAACCCACCAACTGGGAGAAAATATTTGCAAATCATACATCTGACAAGGGGTTAATTTCCAAAATAAATAAAGAACTCATACAACTCAACAACAAAAAAGTCAACAACCTGATCAAAAAATGGGCAGAGGAAATGAGCAGACATTTTCCTTTACTTTCTTGATTACTAAGCCCTACCTGTCAAGTTTTGGGCATGTGTTTGGAGTGACTTCATGAACCAACCACTCAGCAGAATATAAAAAGTACAACAGAAGATTCATTCCCATAGTGTCTTATAGTCTAATAAGCTGTAAATATCAGATGTTTTCTCAACAATTAAAAAAAATTCCTGAATTATGTAAATCCTCCCTGTATAGAAGTTGGGAAAGCTTTACACTGTTAGTGGCCTGAGTTGGGCCCTTATGGAATAGAATAAAAGAAAATAAAACAGTAGATGCTGAACAAAGCATGTCAGAGTTTCAGTGACTTTCTTCCACCCTCTTCGCAAGTCCCCCATCCCTTACCTTCCACCCCCAATCCCCACCCCTCACCGCCAAGGATGACTCGGCTTTGGATTAGGAGAATAACAAACCCAAAGGGGAAACACCCAGCATGGTTTCACAGCAAGAGGGCTGAGGCTTACTGGAAATCAGGAGATTGTAGCCAAGGGTATGTGACCGGGTGAAGGAGGAAATTCAGGTTGGGAACTGGTTATGGATGCCCTTAAAACTCAAACATGTGGTGGGTAACAGGAAGCTGAGAAGCATTTTAGCTGATGTGAGGCACGTTGAAAGTAGTTTTTCAGGCAAGGCAGTCTGGCATTGACATCAAGAGGGGCGGGCTGGTTAGGAAGCTGTTGCAAGAACCCTCGCAAGAGGTACTAAGAGCCAGTTTTAGGGTACCAGCGATGGGAACTGGAAGAAAAGGGCATTGTGAAGGATGAAACCACAGAATTCAGTCACAGATCTGTCACTCATAAAAGGGCTTGTTCCAGTGAAAACACGACATCACTGTTAGGAGACTGAGCTGAACCAGGCTGCGTTGATGTATTTGTTGGTAGAGTTGATGATGATTTGAGACTTAAATTGAACCCCAGGATACGGTCTTATAAACAAGCAACAAAGATTGGGAGCAGGGCAGTGACAGTGACAGTCAAGTAGAAGAGTCTCTAACATCCTACCATCAGCTGCATCCTTCTAGACGACAACCCGGACACTGACAGGATCCAGGATTGAGACCAAGGGTTTGGAGGCTGTGGGAGGTAACGAGAAGTTTCTTACCTTCTTAGTTTACCATGTCCAATAAACAGGCCACATTTTCATTTTTTGAGTGGCCACTGTAAGAATACTCGTTCAATTAGCCAAGGAGTTAGATTATACTTGATTGGGGTTAAATTCCTCCGGCCAGCTCAGGATCCTGTAGGCCACATCAGGGCACTGTGACTGTGGATTTCCCTTGAATAAACTTCCCAAGTCTGCTTCATGGCCATCCTCAGACCCAGCAGTCGAGACCAACATATTGGCTGGAGGGGGCAAAATTTGGGTGGAGATGAAATCATTTTGAGCCAGTTATTAACTAATTGCATTCATATTCTAGTAATGGAGATCCAGCGACAGTCTCTTAAAAACAGAAGAGTGTAGGGGCTGGCCTGGTGGCATAGTGGTGAAGTTTGTCCACTCCACTTCAGTGGCCTGGGGTTCACGGGTCCAGATCCTGGGTGTGGACCACAGCTCATTAAGCCATGCTGTGGCAGCGTCCCACATACAAAATGGAGGAAGATTGGATGTTAGCTCAGGAACACTCTTCCTCAGCAAAAAGAGGAAGATCAGCAACAGATGTTAGCTCAGGGCTAGTCTGCCTCACAAAAACCAAAACAAAACAAAAAAGCAGAAGAGTGTATTCTCTCACGTAAGTAAAGGAGCTCTTGAGTAGGAAGTCCAGGGCCAGGATGACAGTGCCATGAATCATCAAGGACCCAGTCTCCTCTATCCTCAGAGTTGCCTCATGATCCTTAATAGCTTCTAGAGCACCAGCCATCTCACCTTACTTTCCATGAAGGGGGAGGGCAAAAGGGTGGGCCCCAGCTGTCTCCCTTTTAAGGATCCTTTGAGGTAGGTTCACCCAACAAATTCCACTCAGAATTTAGGTACAAGGCTACACCTAGCAACAGAAGAAGCTAGGAAATGTTGCCATTTAGCTGTGACATTTCCAGTCTGAAAAAAACGTGAAATAGTGTAACTAAAGGGGAAATGAGTAGTGAATTAGAAAATGAGAAAATAGCTGTTAACAGATCCTTTGATGTGGCTTTATCTCTGCATGCTTGGGCATGAACTCTGACCATTAATGGAATGACCTACCTTCTCTTTTTTTCTTTCTTCCTTTTTTTCCCACCGTTTGAATCACAAATCTTACCCAGACAGGAATGAAGTGAAAACTGCAAGTGGGCGTGCCAACTTTCTTTTGCATAATTGGGATTGTTATTAGGACCAAGAGTAATCAAGGACCCAGGCTAAAAGAGAACGTGGCGACAAAGATACAGTATCATTAACAAAGGTTTCAAAGTGAGCTTCCCCCGGACCCCAACATCAGGCAAATTATAATTAGATTGTATCCTCAAAGAACACATTAATTACTGGAAGTGAAAGGGGGATTTTGGCTCAGAACAAAAGTATTTTATTTTATTTTATTTATTTTGCTGGGAAAGATTCACCCTGAGCTAACATCTGTTGCCAATCTTCCTCTTGTTACTTGAGGAAGATTGTCCCTGAGCTAACATCTGTGCCAGTCTTCCTCTATTTTTTGGTATGTGGGACACCTCCACAGCATGGCTTGATGATCAGTGTGTAAGTCCATGCCCAGGATCCGAACCCACAAACCCCAGGCCACCCAAGTGGAGTGTGCACACTTAACCACTATGCCACCAGGCCAGCTCCCAAAAGTATTTTATTGAAGAAGACATGTGGTGGGTTGATTGCATCCATAAAGGGAGAAGAGAACCAACATTACTGAGCAGATTGTCAACGTGTGCCAGGTACTAGGTCAAAAGTTCTACCTCAGCTCTCAACTCTCGCAACTTCCCTGTGAAGTGGCTTATTCCTCTTTTGCACAAAGACAGTAAGTGACTTGACCAAAGTCACACACAGAGCTAGTAGGTAGTAGAGCTGGCCTTTGGATGTCTTGCTGTCTCTGTTAATCCTGACGGACCTCCGTGCCTTTGAGTGGCTGCCACACCCTCTCCCACATTCTTTGCACCCAATAGAATTGAGCTCCACCCTACCTTCTTTGTGTGTAGCCCAACTTTTGAAACTGCCTCCCTTCTTCTTCCTCCTGTGCTGCTTCCCAGCTTA